CGGGTGCTGGTGGTCCCCTTACGCCGTCCAGCACTTCTGCAGTGGGGCGTGCGAGTGCACGACGCTCGCAGAGCACGTGGCGAAGCTCGCCCCGGCGATTACGAAAACAGTGCTCCATCATATGCCACTGGTGCCCTCCGTGAACAAGTGGACCAAACTTGGGCCTTGCGTGGATGTGCTGGTGTTTGGGCTCCTGGCTCATCGCGTCCTCCCCGTGTGCTTTGAGAGCTTGAAGTTCAAGGCTCCGCCCAGCAGGGATGACCATGAAGCTGATGACCAATTCAAGTTTGAGGCCGATTTTTCGGCGCTGCAGGGCAAACGATTTCGCTTGGCGCTGGACATGCTGAAAAGCGAGGCCTCGGTCGGATGCATAGTGATGCTCGGCATAGTGCTGGAACCTGTGCGGCACGTGTCGGCTTGGCTCATGAGACGGGCGCGTGAGTGTCCGGATCCCTGCGGGCGCCCTGCTGTCTTAGATTTCTTCAACGACCGCTTTAACCCTGTCGTCCACGCGAGGCAGTACATCTCAACTTTGCTCAGTGGCCGCGCCACGCGCCCGGTGCTGCTGTGGAGGATTCGGCAGCGCGAGTCCCTTCAAGATTGGTTTGGCAAGCACCCCGAGGACATCCGCCTTTTCCGCAGATTGCTTCTCGCTTTGGATTGCGCATTATTTCGCCGGCATTATTGCCCGTCGAGGCGGTTCCCTTGGGGCCTCGTTCGTTTGTGCGACGACCGCTTCTCCGCAGCGGAGCGGGAACAGTTGGCCGAGAAGTTCTTCCGCACGCCCGAGTGTTGCTTGCACCCGGGCTTCGCGCGGAAGGTGGCCTCTGCGCTGGCGTCCTCCAGGGAGCTGCTGACAGAGAAGTGGCTGGCCAGGCTGAGGGTGTTGGTCCGCGTCCTCACATTGCAAGTCGCTGACGTCGAGTGGCGCCACGGCCGCAACCGCCAATTTGGGAACAACAACGGGTTGAGCTCTATGCATCAGATGGTGGCTCGGAGCGTTTGTTCTGAGGCAGTCGTCCTACGCGGTGCTGTTCGGCGACGCCGCGATCTTCTTCACCGCCGCCAAATGCCTCCGGCTCGCCAGGCCGTCGGCGACGGCGGGGCCGTCGGCGGCGGCGATGGCCGCGCGGCAGGCAGGGTGCGGGCGCCCAACCCCAAGGATTTATTCATCCTTGATTTCCACGCAGGTTGCACCGCGCGCGACGAGCGCGTGAATCCCGTTCTCCAGGACTCGGACTGGGGAAGGGCGGGGAGGAAGGTTTGGCCCACCTGTGCACCGAGCCTGCGCGTTCCCTGCCCCAGCACCCCCCCACCGCGGGGGGGAGTGGGGGGGTGCTGGGGCAGGGAACTCGCGGGCTCGTTGCCCAGGCGGGGTACGGTCGCTTTGCTCTGCCCCGCCCCCAGGACACCACGGACCGCATCGACCGGGAGTTCGCCGAGCTCACCCCGGAGGCTGTGGCGGAGTATGGCAGGCGGTCCGAGTTGATGAAGGCGGCCGCGGCGCAGAACAGAGAGAAAAGGAAGCGAGACAGAGAATGCCGCCAGGCCGAGGTTTTCGCGCCCTCGACCTTCGCCGCTTCCCGCGGCGCGTTCAGGCAAGACCACGCCGGCGAGCATTTTTCCAGTCTTCTGGAGTCGTGCCAGTGCGGGGCTCCTCGCTGCAGGCACTGGGCGCTGGCCGCCAATCTGAACGCGGCGGAGCCAGAGGTGGAGCACCTGGAATCGGATAAGTTCGCGTTGTTCACTGGCGCCGCCCAGGCCATAGCTTCTCGGGCGCCCACTTTCCCATCAGGTGACTATCCTTTGACGGTCCCCTCATTGAAGAGAGCGCTCAAGAGTAATACTCTGAGCGCCTGCGAGGCCGAGTTCAGGGAGGTGACGAACGGGTACGTTTTGGCACCTCCACGGTTCCAGTTCCCAGAGCGCGTCGCCTACCCAAAGTGCTGTGGTGCGCTTTGCAGCAACACAAATTCTTTGAGCAAGGCGCGGGCGTACCTTCGATTGTTGGCTGGATTCGCTTCCTTTTCGGCGAAGTTCAAGCCCGCGGATTTGCCAGAGCAGGATCTGCTACTTCTGCTGCATGGGAATCTTGGGAGCGGTGCCAGCATCCTGGAGTACGCTTTCTTTCCTCATGCCGCTGGGCGATTTTGCCACCACCCGCCAGAACAGACGTTCGTCAGGCTCGAGGCCGCTGGGGACGGAGACCAGACCCACGTCATCGGCCTGGAGCTCAAGGTCGCGCGGGAGCGATTCGTCGATCCTGGAAAGCGGTGCCAAGGACGATTTAATCGTCAGAGGTATCGGGCGGGGTTGGTGGCAGAAAAGCTTCCTGCAAGCGACTCGCCGTGGCCCGCTCCGTTGTTCGCTCGGCCCCCCCGCCCTTTCCCCACCCGCCGCTTGGTCGGCACCGGGGGGGGTTGCGCGGTCGGTCGGCTATGTCGTCTGGGCCGCGACGTTCACGTTGGTACCCCCAGGTGCCGCTCGCCGATGGACCAGCAGGCGCAAGGCGCTAAGGTCGGTTGAAAACGAACGCCCCGTGTGAAGGTTGTACCCAATAGCAGTTCTTGCAACCAGGGGGCGAGATTTCGTCACGTGGTTGCCCGTGCCGCCTTGTGGGCGCCCCTTGCGCTGGGCGTGTCGGCCGAGGTTTCGCCGCGCGGCCGCCCGCGCCGCCTCGTGGGCGCTCCGTGCGCTGGGCGGGCGCTTGCACCGCATAGCTTGCGCATCACAGCTTCTCCCGCGCGGCGTGCGCTGCGAAGTTATCATATCTTGCTTGGCCCGCATAGATTGCGCCACGTGGCGGGCACCGCAAAAGGCACACACTCACGCTGCCAGGGTTTCCCAGAGCCCCCCCCCAGGGGTCGAGACCAGGGCATCCAGGGATGAGCAGGGGGCGGGGGGTGGCGATAATGCGGGTGCTCCTCCTCGTCCTTCTCCTCCTCCTCCTCCGCGCCGCCCCCCCCTGCCCGCGTGTCGACGTGCGCCCACCACCCCCCTACCTCGGCATCAACCGCTGTGGAGGCGTCAAAGGAAGGTCGGGGCGCCCGATTGTCGGCCATCCGCATTTCGGCATTTTTGCATTAGCGGGCCGCGGGGTTGAACAATCGGCCGGTCGAAAACAAACATATTCCGGCGCGAACCTGCGCGGGGGGGCCCACCAGCGGGGGGACGCCAAGGCGCCCTTGCGGAGAGGAGGAGGAGGAGGAGGAGGAGGCAGAGGGTGGAGGGAGGAGGCGGGGGGCAGGGGAGGAGGGGGACCAAGAGGAGGGGCGCGATAATGCGGGTGATCCTCGCCCAGGCGCCTGCGGTGCCCCCTCCTGCTCCTTCCTCCTCCTCCCGCTCCTCCTCCGCCCAGTACCCTTCCGTAAACGTATTTTTCTCAAGCTGTTGCCCCCTGTTCGGCTGGCGATTATCGGATCGATGGCGTCCCTGGAGACATATGTGGGCCGCGGGGCCCACGATTACAGGGTCATCATTCCCTCGGTCGACCGGCCAGCTGTGCTGTGCAACACAACTCTCCATTTTTTGATTAATGTGCAAGCCGTCCCGCCAGAGAGGATCCACGTGTGGGTGGCAGACGCTACACTCCCACGCCAGACGCTTCCTGAAAAAGACCGCTACGCGGATGCTCTGCAGAGCCGCGGGTGGGACAGAGTGCAGCTTCGGGTGGGCGTCCTGGGATTGACGGCCCAATGGAACCACATCGTGAACGCGTACCCCCAGAACACGTACATCGTGTGCGTCCTCGACAACGTGCGGCGCATCCACCGGCGCGTGGAGAGCCGCGCTGGCCGTAAGAAGATCGAGCTGGCCAGCCCTCTTTTCAAGGCGCTGGTGCAGCACGCCGGCGATCTCTGTCACCGCCATGGCTCGTGGATGTGGGGTCTCTGCCCTGCCCAATCCCTGATGAGCATGTCCCCCAATGGCATCAGCAGAAAATTTGGGTTAGTGCAAAACGCAGTGCTGGGCTTCTGGACCCGGCGGGACCCCTCCCTCTGTTGCAAAGGCTTTTGTTTAGACTTGGAGTATTCTTGCAGGTATTGGCAGTCCGACGGAATTCTATTGCGATATGAGATGCTGTGCGCCTCGCGCCCGTACGGAACCGCGGGTGGGCAATCGACCGTCGCAGGCAGTGGCCGCCGAGAAGTGGAATCTACGCACATCCAAAAATTGGCACGTGAGTTTCCCCACCTTTTGAAGTATGCTCCAGAAAAAGGCACCAAAACCGTCCAGCCAGTGCGGATTTTTCCTGTGGGCCCCAGCCCGCTGCAGCTCAAGACGGAGACCACAAGGCAGGTGATCTTCGCGAAACGACCCGCCAGCAGCACGGAGAAGTACAGGCGGTCCCGTGGCCTCCCACAGAACACACGGAAAAAACTCAAGCCAGGACGCAAGCCCCTTGGCAAGAAAGCTATGTCCCGTGCAGAGATCAGCCGTCGGCAGCGCGAGCGAGCGCAGAAAAAACTATCATCGATCATCATATTCCGGTGTCGCCGAACCATGGTTGTGGCAGATCTGTTGGCCGGCCCGTTGCGCAAACGCGCCGTTGCCGGCGCCCCAGGGGGCCGCGGCCTCCTTCCCGCCCCTGTCGTCGTTGCGGAGAATAGAATTTTTTTATTTTCTTTTTATCTTTTATTTTCTTTTTTTCTTTGTATTATTTTTTTTTTTTTTTCTTTTTTATTTTTTTTTTCCTTTTTTCCTTATGTGTAGTTCCCCTATACAAAAAAACAAAAATACTCCTCTCCTCTCTCCTCTGACTTGGTCCGCCCTCCTCCCGCTCGCGCCACCGCCGCCGCGTGGGCAGCGAGTGGGCGGTCAGCAATGATCCCGCGGCCCCCGCGGGCGTCGCGTGGTGTTCGCAGGCAATGCAGTGTTCTACGCCCGCCTGGCGTCCGTGTGTTTGGCAATGTCCAAGTGGCCCCGCGGTGTTCACAGGTCGAGCGGTGTTCAGAAGCTGGCTGTTCATGTTTTTTTCGCAACGTCCCGAAACCGCGTGTTGTTTACAGGCCTTGTGGTGTCCACGGACATCAGGTTGTGCGCAAAAGGGGTCCACTGGTCCTGTGGTGTCCACAGGCCTATCCTGTCCTGGATTGACCCGACGGGCCGCGGAAAGCCAAGTTACGCGCGAACTGCGCGATACTAAATGTTGGCCCGGAAACCGGTGTGGCGACGACGACGACGACGGCGGCGGCGGCGCGACGGAGGCGATGACGACGACGACGACGACGACGGACCGACGGCGACGACGGACCGACGGACCGAGTTATGAAACCTGAGGGGAAGCGGCCAGAAACACTTGGGCTCCCCGCCTTCGCCCCCCCCCCGGTGCGTGAGAATCTGGAAGAGTGAGCTTTCAAAAACAACCTCACGCCTTAAAGGGCTGGTGGGATTAACGACAGTGCTTAGCACGAGTGGCCAAGCGGACAATTGCAATTGCTCCTGCAACGGTCGTCAATGCCACGGGGGGCGGCGCGAACTGCGCGATACCAAACGTTGGCCCGGAAACTGCCCCGCATGACCCCGGGAGGCACCAACAGTGGCCTGAGAGAGCTCAGGAGGAAGACGGGGTGCAACAGATGGAGGCAGATGGGGGGAGAAAGACGAGGAGGAACAGCAGGAGGCGGAGGAAAAGGAGGAGGGGGAGGAAGAGGATCGGGAGGGTTCTGTTTAGCATGCGCCCGCGTGGCTCCCTGGTCGGCGGCGCACCCCAGAGATCCCCAGAAATGAGCGGTCGGGGGGTAGCTGCACGACAGTAGCATGTCTTCTTCAGGCGTCACAGCGGCTATGTCCGAGCAGATGCTCGCCCGCCGCTTCGTGGAATTGGCCACAACGTCGATGGACCAAGTGTGTGAGCTCAAGTCGGTAACCCTGAAACCCTTGGCGTACCGGGACATCTGCCTGGACCGCGTTGTCATTCAAGGCTTCCACGGCACTGCGCAGCCGTTCGAAATCGACGTCGGCCGGGAAGCGCCGAAACCAAAGCCAACGAGTGGAGCAGCGCCCAAAATGGGCGCCGTTGACTTGTGCGGCGACGTGTTGGGCGAGTCCACTGGCGCTGGCGTTGCCGCGCACAAGGGCGCGTCGAAGGCGGGCGGCGGGGCCGCCGTGGTTGACGCCGGCACCGGGGGCAGTCCATCAGCAGGCCCCTCTGGCGCGAGCCCCCCGCCCACCGAGAGCGCCGACATATCTGGCATGATGAAGGAGTTGGGCCTTTCAGCCTCAGACATTTCGGAGGGTGATTTTATGAAAGCCGACGGTGTCATGAAAGCAGTGGTCTCCGCATTGCCTGAGAATGTAATGGCGGAGCTCGCTGATATTGGTGTTACTGTCGCAGAGCTGGAGGCCGCTCCAGAGGATGATGAGCCCGAGTCGGTCCACAGTGTCACCGACGGGGAGCAGGACATTGACTGTGACGGCGATCCAGGCGACGAGGGGGGGGTGGCCGACGAGGAGCAGAGCGAGGGGGAACCCTGGCCTTGGACGCACATCGAGGAGGATCCGGCGGCCGCCTACAAGTTCCTGTCCAAGGAAGACGGTTCGCCCGTCGGCCGCCTGCAGAGGAGCGGCCGCCGAAATGGCGATCGTAATTGTTGGGTGGTCCCAATCAACAAAACGATCAGCAATGCCCTCCCGCCAATAGCCCCCGTGCGTTGATTCGAAGATGCGCCCCGCGAACACAGAATGACGCAACGGGGGTGCCCGCGACGCGCGGTTGCAGACTGCGGCGCCTCTGGCCGAGTGGCAGGCAGAGGTGTCGGGCAGACTGCAGCCGCGAGTCGTGAACACCTCCTGCTGGGTTGTAGTAGCGTTCCGACCAGGATGGGCGCCGCTTCTCTGAAGGCCACGTGCACCGTGCGCGGCCACGGCAGGTGCGGCTGCTGGGTTGCCCTCAAGCCCCCTGGCGATACTGAGCCAGATGTCCAGCGTCTCGAAAGGGAGTTGGTCGAATGGTTGGCTCACGGTCTTACTGACACAGAGGATGAGCATTATCGAAAGTCCGCGGCTCTTCGCAGGGCCAAAGGCATGCGAGTGAAGGACTAGCAGTCTCTCCGCGCTTTTCTCCCGATGTGGCGTCGCGAGAAAAACAAAAACGTGCATCTTCGCGGGGCCCAGTCCCGCGCCGTGGTCGTGCCTGCCCCTCCTCCCTGTTCGTCCTCCCTCCTCGTGGCCCACGGCCCGTCGGCTTGCCCGTCGGTCCCGTCGGCCCTGTTCGGGGGTCCCCTGGTCCGTTCGTCTCGCCTCGTTCGTGGCCCGTCGGCGTCCCGCAGGAACGCGCCTAATGTGTAGATGTTTATTAAACCGTCTTACTGCTAACCTATTGCTCATCAGCTGCGTCTTCGTCTCCTTCGATTCCTCCTGGACGCGCGCTGAGAAGGTCGCCTACCTTCTGGCCGCGGGGGCGAGCAGGGCGAGGAGGGGCCTCTGGAGGCCCCCGCTCCTCGCTCTGTGGACGGACTCGCCTCGACTTCTGGCTGCGGAAGGCCCCTGGTGGCCCCCGCCCGCCCTCCTGGGGTGCCGCGCCTAGGCCCGAGGGCCTAGGCTGCCTGTGCGTCGGGAGACTGGGTGGGTCCCGACGCGCGGGCGCGGCTCCGGGATCTCCTCGTCGCCACTGCGGCCTCGCGTGGGGCGCGAGGCCGCGCTCGGGGCGGTCCTGGCTCGACTGGACCGTTCTATGCCGCGCCGATCCTCCCCTTTTCCTCCTCGTCCTCTTCCTCGTCCTCATCCTCCTTCTCCTCTTCCTCTTCCAGGGTCGGCATCTGCTCAAGTTCCGCCACTCGTGGGATCCATTCGGACGCGAACGGAGAAACGCACAAGCGTCAGAAGGGGCGGGGGTGCTCGTAGGGGTGGGGGTTACCCAGGTAGGGACAATTGACCCGGGCCTTGTATCGGGTTGAGGTGTTTGGGGCGTAATGGGGTCCTGGGGGTTCCCTCCCCCACTCCCCTCCAGGCCCCTCCGCCTCTCCCCTGCCCCCTGAGAAAGCGAGCCCTCATTGATAGCCTTCCTGCCTGCTCAGAAGCTTCTCTGAGAGGCCTTCGTGCTCCCATGCGCCCCGGCTGCGTGTACCTCCGCCACGGCGCGCTATTGTGTAATTCCTCTACTATTTGGCCCGCGTGTTGTGCAGGCGCTCACTTTAAAGGAGTAAAAGAAGGGCAGTTCGTCCTAGCGCACCTAGTTCGGCTTCGCGATGGAGTGTGTCTCCGCGCCGCCACGAAAAAAAAACGTCTGCGCTGATCGTGTCGTCACGGAGCGCACGTCCTAACTTCGCCGCACCCCGAGGGCAGCCATCCCTCTGAGCCACCGCCATCCCGCATCCCGCATCAGCCCGAACCGCGCGGAGTTTCTTCGCACCGCGTCCAACGCGGAGTGCCCCGCCCGATTGGGCGCACGCGCGGCTGCCGTGCGTCTCCCAACGAGGCGCGCGGCAACCGACGCCTGTCTGGAAATTGCGGCTTGGCTGCTGCGCGGCCGCGTGGAAGTTCAGAGCAGGGTTCGGGCGGGCGCACTCGCCCTTGCGATGGCCGCCGGAGTGCAAAAAAAACGCGCTGACCGAGCAAGGGCGGGCTCGAAGCCCCATCCCCCGCCCCCGCACGAGGGAGCCGCTCCCGCTCCACGCCCGCGGGCGCTGGCCGCTCCAAGTCTGCGCCCTGCACGGTCCGAAACCGCGCCGGCGGCAGCAGCCGGCAGTTGCCCGGCAGTTGCCGGCAGTTGCCCGGCAGTTGCCCGGCAGTTGCCCGGCAGTTGCCGGCAGTTCGTGGTCGGGCGGGACTGGCGCGTGTCGGGGCGGAAAAGTCTTAAGTTTCTACTTGAGGATAGCGGCTGCGCGCAGGGTTTTTCTTTATGGCACGGCGCGAAAGCATGGCCGGCAGTTGCCCGGCAGGTGCCTGGCAGTTGGTCGCCGACAGTTGCCCGGCAGTTGCCCGGCAGTTGCCCGGCAGTTGCCCGGCAGTTGCCGGCGGTTCTTGAGATGTGCCCGCCTTTCGCCGCGGGTTTCTTCAGACGGCGGAGTGGACCTTTGGACGGGCCGCCCCGCCCTTCGCGGAGCGGCCCGGCGCCCCCGTAGGAATCCCCATTAGAGTCGCCGCAGGTATCCCCGTTGGAATCCCCATAGGACGCCCCGTAGGGATCTCCGTAGGAATCCCCGCAGGGGTCCCCGTGGGAATCACCCTAAGAGTCCCTGCCGCCAACCGCTTGCCTTCCGCGCGCCGTCAGAGAAAACGTACAACAGGACCCATGTTGACTTGGAAATCCAATCGGTCGCCGCTGAGGGTTCATTTGGGTTTCCAGGCACATTTAGCGGCTTCCCTCTTGTGGACAGTAACGAACTCCCCACGCAGCGCCGACCGCCGACGCGCGCGCGCTCGCGCTCTCCTGACATAATTGAATATTTTATTAAACGATCGCAGACGCGCGCGCGCGCTGTATTGTCCAGAATAGAAAAGTCGCCATGTTGGCCTGGAAACTGAAGTGCTCCCTAAGCGGTGACCGATGGGATTTCCAAGTTAACATGGGGCCTATTACGTACCCGTTTACTCGCCGCAGGGTACAAGCGCGACGCGCGGCGCGCTGCGCGCCGCGCGCGTCCGCGGCGTATTGTCCAGAATAGAAAAGTCGCCGTTGGCTTGGGAAATGAAAGTGCTACCTAAGCGGGACCGATGGGATTTCCAATGACACAAGGGCTTCTAGTACCGTTTGTTACTGCCGCCGCGTACAAACGCGCAGACGCGCGCGCCCCGCGCGCGTCCGCGCGCCTGTATTGTCCACAATAGAAAAGTCGCCATGTTGCCTGGAAACTGAAAGTGCTCTTAGCGGCGACCGATGGGATTCCAAAGTAACATGGCGGCATTACGTGCCTGTTACTGCCGCAAGGTAAACGCGCAGACGCGAGCGCGCGCGCGCGTCCTCTGTGTGGATTCCCGCACGCTGTAGTGTCCACAATAGAAAAGTCGCCATGTTGGCCTGGAATCGACGTGCTCCCTTAGCGGTGACCGATGGGATTTCCAAGTTCACATGGGGCTTCTACGTACCCGTTTACTGCCGCAGCGTACAACGCGCAGACGCGCGCGCGCGCTGTATTGTCCACAATAGAAAAAGGTGCCATGTTGGCCTGGAAACTGAAGTGCCCCCTCAGCGGTGACCGACGGGAGTTCCAAGTTAACATGGGGCCTTTACGTACCCGTTTACTGCCGCAGCGTACAACGCGCAGACGCGCGCGCGCGCTGTATTGTCCACAATAGAAAAGTCGCCATGTTGGCCTGGAAACTGAAGTGCTCCCTTAGCGGCGACCGATGGGATTTCCAAGCTAACATGTGGCCTCTACGTACCCGTTTACTGCCGCAGCGTACAGCGCGCAGACGCGCGCGCTGTATTGTCCACAATAGAAAAGTCGCCATGTTGGCCTGGAAACTGAAGTGCTCCCGTAGCGGTGACCGATGGGATTTCCAAGTTAACATGGGGCCTCTACGTGCCCGTTTACTGCCGCTGCGTACAACGCGCAGCCGCGCGCGCGCGCGCGCGCGCGGCGGCGCGCGCGCGCGTCCCCGCGCGCTTGTATTGTCCACAATAGAAAAGTCGCCATGTTGGCCTGGGAACTGAAGTGCTCCCTTAGCGGTGACCGATGGGATTTCCAAGTTAACATGGGGCCTCTACGTACCCGTTTACTGCCGCAGCGTACAACGCGCAGACGCGCGCGCGCGCGCACGCGCGTCCGCGCGCTGTCCTTGTCAACAATAGAAAAGGCGGCATGTTGGGCATGGGAAACTGAAAGGCTCCCCTAAGCGGTGACAGATGGGATTTCCAAGTTAACAGCGCTTCTCTTTACGTACCCGTTCCGCCCCGCAGCGTACAACGCGAGATCGGAAGGCGGCGCGCGCGCGCTTGCGCGCGCGCGCAGTCGCGCGCCTGTATTGTTTCCAAAGAGGAAAAAGTCCGCCATGTTGGCCTGGAAACTGAAGTGCTCCCTTAGCGGTGACCGATGGGATTTCCAAGTTAACATGGGGCCTGTACGCACCCGTTTACTGCCGCAGCGTACAGCGCGCAGACGCGCGCGCGCGCGCGTCCGCGCGCTGTATTGTCCAGAATAGAAAAGTCGCCATGTTGGCCTGGAAACTGAAGTGCTCCCTTAGCGGAGACCGATGGGATTTCCAAGATAACATGGGGCATCTACGTACCCGTTTACTGCCGCAGCGTACAACGCGCAGACGCGCGCTGTATTGTCCAGAATAGAAAAGTCGCCATGTTGGCCTGGAAACTGAAGTGCTCCCTTAGCGGTGACCGATGGGATTTCCAAGTTAACATGGGGCTTCTACGTACCCGTTTACTCCCGCAGCGTACAACGCGCAGACGCGCGCGCGCGCGCGCTGTATTGTCCACAATAGAAAAGTCGCCATGTTGGCCTGGAAACTGAAGTGCTCCTTTAGCGGCGACCGATGGGATTTCCAAGCTAACATGGGGCCTCTACGTACCCGTTTACTGCCGCAGCGTACAACGCGCAGACGCGCGAGCGCGCCGCGCGCGCGCGCGCGCGCGCGCGCGCGCGTATCGCGCGCTGTAATGTTCCACAATAGAAAAGTCGCCATGTTGGCCTGGAAAAAACGACATGCTCCTTTAGCGGCGACCGATGGGATTTTTTCCAAGCTAACATGGGGCCTCTACGTGTACCCGTTTACTGCCGCAGCTTACAACGCGCCAGACGCGGCGCTGTATTGGCACAATAGAAAAGGTCGCCACATGTGGGCTTGGAAAATGAAGTGCTCCCTTAGCGGTTGACCGATGGGATTTCCAATTTAACATGGGGCCTTACGTACCCGTTTACTGCAGCAGCGTAACAACGCGCAGACGCGCGCGACGCGCGCGCGCGCGCGTCCGCGCGCTGTATGTCCCCAATTAGAAAGTCGCCATTGTTGGCCTGGAAACTGAAGTTTGCTCCCTAGCGGGTGACCGGATGGGATTTCCAAGCTTAAACATGGGGCCTCTACGTACCCGTTTACTGCCGCAGGGTACAACGCGCAGACGCGCGCGCGCGCGCGTCCGCGCGCTGTATTGTCCACAATAGAAAAGTCGCCATGTTGGCCTGGAAACTGAAGTGCTCCTTTAGCGGTGACCGATGGGATTTCCAAGTTAACATGGGGCCTCTACGTACCCGTATATTGCCGCAGCGTACAACGCGCACGCGCGCGCGCTGTATTGTCCACAATAGAAAAGTCGCCATGTGGGCCTGGAAACTGAAGTGCTCCCTTAGCGGTGACCGATGGGATGTTCAAGTTAACATGGGGCCTCTACGTACCCGTTTGCTGCCGCAGCGTACAACGCGCAGACGCGCGCTGTATTGTCCACAATAGAAAAGTCGCCATGTTGGCCTGGAAACTGAAGTGCTCCCATAGCGGTGACCGATGGGATTTCCAAGTTAACGTGGGGCCTCTACGTATGTTTTCTCTGATTGCGCGCGGAAGGCGGGCGGCGGGTCGTAGAAGCATGCAAACGAACATCCCCCTACAAAGGGTTTGTTGGGAACCGGATCCTAGCCAAAGCCATGTGGCCCATTCGCGGAGCCTCGCGCGGCGGCGGCCGCGGCCATGGTGGCCGCGCCGACGCCCCCGCCGCCGCGGCGCCGGCGGCGGCCGCCGCCGCCGCCCCCGCCGCCCCCGGCGAGGCCGCGGCGCCCGCGGCCAAGCGCCGCCGCTCGAGCCGCTCTGGCCCGAGCGGCGGCAAGAAGGCGGTCGCCGAGCGCGACGCCGCGCGCGCTCGGGCGGCCGAGCTGGCGGATGAGAACCGCCGGCTGGCCGCCGAGCTGGAGACCGCGCGCTCGGCCTTGGCAGCCGCCGGGGCCGCCCTGGAGGCTGAGCGGCAGGCGGCGGCCGCCGCGCGCGAGGCAGAGGCGGCCGCGGCGGCCGCGGCCGCCGTCGCGCGCCAGGCACAGGCGGCCGCGGCGGCCACGGCGGAGGCCGCGAAGCTCGCCGCCGAGGTGGCGAGGAACGAGCTCCACGCGGAGCAGCGATGCTGGGAGGCGTGGTCCAGCATTAATGAGGCCCCCCTTCCCAGAAGGGACGGCGCTGGCCGCCACCGCTGGCCCGCGGAGGCCAAGGCGGCGGCGGCCAAGGCGGCAGCGGCCAAGGCGTCCCCGCGGCGCTGAGGACGACGGGAAACATAACCACTCAGCCCCTCCCCTCCCTCCCTCCCCTTGCCCCCCCTCCTTCCCCCCCCCCCCTTCCCCTGAAACTCCCTCCCTCCCTTCCCTCCCCTCCCTCCCCTCCTCCCTCCCTCCCTCCCTCCCCCCCTCCCCTCCTTTCCTGCCTGCCTCCCCTCCTTCCCTCCCCTCCCCTCCTCCCCCCTCCCTTCTGCCCGCCGCCCCCCTTCCTCTCCACCGCCGGCCTGCTTATGGCCGTCCGCAAGCATTCACCCCCACCATTTTTTCGCAGCCACGTTGCGCAGGGCCTGTCTGCGGCCAGTTCTGGACGTTCCCGCGGCGCCGGCTGGCAAGCGCAGCGTCGGGGTCCCAGCGAGCCGCCAACGATGCCGCTGGAGTCCGTCTTCGGAGATGGCGCGGCGGGTGCTGGAGAGTTCGTTTGCTCATGCAAATGGTGCAAGCGGGACCAGAACACGCCCCAGCCGCTGAACCATCTGAAGGAGAGGAATCCGTTCTTATGCTGGCGCCGCCAGGGAGGGCGGGAGTGCAGCATTTGCCCGAACATGATAGCTGCAGACCCAGACTACAAGAACATGAACAGGCAGGTTCTCCTGGATTCTGTGACGCCAGGCCATGAGTCTTATTCCGAGGAAAACCAGAAGGCCCTCGACGGTAAGCTCGCGAAGTACGAGTCGGACAGGAACACGAACGGGGGCAGGGTGCGGGCAACCCCCAGTGGCCGCCAGACCGTCCAAGCACGCTCGACGGCGATGACCGAGAGCCGGAAGTTCGTGGGCTACTTGTGGCCCACCGCGTACTGGTCTGAGAACAATGGTGGGGCCAAGCCCGACCGGAAGCAACTCGGGAGTACGAAACATCAAGGTCGCCAGGAGACGAACTCAATTTGCAATATACAATTTCTTCCCAAACCAGCCGCGCGCTGAGACGCCATCGGGACACCACGGAGACAGGACCCCGTGAAGGCGCCGCCAGAACACCGCTAAGACACAGCTGGGACACCGTTGGACCACCGCTAAGACACTTTTGGGACACCGTTGGGCCACCGCTGAGACACCGTTGGGACACCGTTGGAGGAGGAGGAGGAGGACGAGGAGGAGGATGGATTGGTGCACCCCCAGGCAAAAAGGTCACCGGCGTCTGGATGAAAGAGGCCGGCCCAGACCCCACTCGTGCCATCGAGGTGTGGACTGTCAGCCAGGACGCCGTCGACCGCAACGGCGAGCTCGCGTCCACGGCGTACGGCGACATTGCAGACGTCGACAAAGCTCAAGAGCAAGCTTTGAAACGGGTGAGGGTCTCCTCAACCGAGAAGGACGGGGCCCTGAAAGTGACCAGTGGGCGTGGCCACGCTGCTGCGGGCGACGTGGATGCGGACGACCTTTTTCTGGATTCCGTGTTCAGCAGGAAGCATGGGGCGAATGGCAGTGGGGGCTCCCGCAGCGACGAAGCGGATTGCGACGGGGATGCGGGCACCGGTGGCCCCCCCGCGGACGAGGGGGAGACGGCGCCGACGAGCCCGAGGGCCAGACCCAAGGCAAAGGCTAAGGCAAAGCCAAAGCCAAAGGCCTTACCCGAGCTAACCCCCGTGAAGCAATGGTCAAAGACGGTTGTGCAGAAAGCTTTCAACGAGTCCGAGCAGGCCTCGTTGAAGTGCAAGCAGTTCCGCCAGAGTTTCACCGACCCCCGCCTGGTGCTCACGCTGACCGCCAAGACTGTGGAGACTTTGGTCGCTGCCGTGGAGAAGCGGCTCACCTCGGACTTGATCAACATGTACTCGTCGAACTACTCCGACACGGGCGCCGTCTTGCCAGGGGAGCCCGACGCAGAATCCCAGGGCATGCAGGTGTTCACCCAGTTGCGCGAGAACCAACGTTTCTTGCGTGTCGTGACGGGCTTGGTCACCAGCTTGCAGGCCACGCAGGGCGAGCTTGTCTCGGCAGAGATGCTGATGTCAGAGTACACGAAGGTGAAAGAAGCAAAGGTGGACGTGACGGACTACATCCTGGAAGTGGTGGTGACGCGCGCGGCCAAGGCGGCGGGCCAGGAGAAAGACTGGGACCGCCTCGTGGACATTCTTAATCCAACGTCCTCGAACGACCACGGCCTTCCGATCGTCGCGCTCGACGACCGGGCGGCCCTGCAGAAGAGAATCTTGCTGGAGTATGTCTTGGGCTTCGCCAAGGTGGAGCCGGACAAGACGAAACCGACGGAATGCACGAAGGTGGCGGACGCCATGGCTGGCATGGGGGCCCTGCTCTCCAAAGTGCCTGTGGCTACGGAGGTCGGGGAGAACCCTTTCATCCTGGACGCTGCCTTCAAGGACGACCTCGAGAAGTTCACCCTGCTGCTGCGCGCCCCCGCCCTCGAGGACGGCGAGTTGTTGACGCGGGCTGAGGTGGCGCGGGACGGGCTAGTTGCGAACAAACAGGGTGCCTTCTACAAGGCGGTCACCTTGTACAGTACTGGCATGGCCGCGCGAGTCGAGGCGGAGAAGGTTTTCGAGCGCAGGCACGCCGACAAGGCGAACAGCGTGATCTTGCAAGAGTTGGTTGCGAAGGTCCCCATTTATTGATATTCGAGAACCCCTGGGGTCGGAAATCGCCAGGGGCCGTTTTGGCGGCCGTCATGCCCCGACGCGGGCTTCGCAGGGAAACGCCCCCCCCCAAGCTTGATTTTTCGTCCGCCTGGCCACTGCTGTGTGGCCCGAGGTCGATGCTTTGGCAACGGCGGCCGCCAACGTCGCCAGTTTCACGGTGGTGACGAAGGTGAATGGCCAGTCAACCCCATCGGGCGTGAAGCTGCCGCATCATTCGGACATCGCGGACGCATACAAGAAGTTCACGGGCATCACGTCTACTTGCTCCTCGGTTTTCACCAAGGTCTCGAAGGGCGACCTTGCCCGGGTCGAACAGTTGCTCGGCAGGTTCGTCGTTTCGGCAAGGGAAGCGTCCAAGGCCGTCAGGGATAGCCGGGCCGCGGCGGCGGCGAAAGTCGCCACCCCGATCTTCAACAATGCTTTTGGCGAGGAGGGAGACGTGACCCGAGTGGAGGAGGCCATCGGCGGCCTGACGTGCGTCCCAGCGAAGGACATGGCTTTCCTGGCAGGCATTGGCGGCACCGAGGCCGCCAAGGCGTACGAGGAGGACGTGGCTAAGTTCGATGCGGCCGCAGCTGACTTGAAGGCGGGCGTCCCCTGGCTGCAGAACCTCTCCCAGAACAACGTTGACATCTTGGACGGCAAAGGGAAGAAGTTCCTCGCCGCCTTGACGCTCCTTGCCGAGTGGCTTGCTGGGGCGACGGAGTTCAATGCCTTCCAGCAAGCAGTGGTGGCTAAAGTTGTCGAGGGGGTGCGCGCCCGTCTCACCAGCGGCCTCTCGACGATTTCTGGCTTCGTTACGGCGATGTCGAAGAGTGTGGAGGACGTAGACGTCGCCTCGATCACCACGTCGCTCGTCGACGCGGCGGCGCCGAAAGCTTTGGTGAAGGCGGCCAGCGACGAGGACGCGCAGGATTCGGACCAGCTCGGCAAGGTGGCAGCCTTTGCAGTCCAGTGCGCCTCCTTCGCCGGCATGTCCGCAGACATTACGGTGGGCGACGGGGCAGTGGCATTCCCCGTTTGCTGCGCCAGCCCCCAGCTTTACAAGGCATGCCGCGCGGCGCGGACCTTCCACCAGGGCCTCCTGACGGCGGGCTTCTCCCAGCTAGCTCCCCTTCGGAACGCCTTGGCGGCCATTCACGCAGCCTCAGAGGTCCTGCGCGCCGACGTCGTCCCGCAGTTCGGCGGTTTGGCGGCGCACGTCGGCAAGGTGCAGGGACACGTCGAGACGGCGTGCCGCGGGGCGCTGGAGACCTGGCTGGCTAAGCAGGCGGAGTCTTGCAGGGAGGCGGTGGACCGCGTGAGTAAGGCGCTGGAGGACCCAGACTGCCAGGCCTTGGTGAAGCGTTTGGGGGCCGCAGAGATTGACGTATCCGAGGTGAAGAAGGCCCTCGAGCACGAGTGCGTCACCAACCTCCACGAGGCTATGAAGCAGGTGCGGGTGCTCGAGAAGGAAGCCGACTTCTCCTACGTTGCTGGCTGGCTCAACACATACAAGATGTTCGACGGCATCCTTCTGCAGCGCACGCAGGAGGAAGTCGCGGACGCTTTCAAGGAGGAGTCCCCGCAGCTGAAGGCGGCGGGATCTGTTCTGGCGGACTTCACGCTTGCGCAGAGCACGGTGCGGCCGCTAGGCCCCGGGGAAGTCCGCCACGACCTGGTTCAGAGGATCCTGGGCGGCTTGAAGAAGCGCAAGTGGCACGCCATCAGCCCATCCTTGCAGGAGCGGCTCGAGTCGGCGAGCAAGAAGGCCAAGAAGGGCGCCGCCGGCGAGGCAGCGTCCGCGGCTGCGCCCTCGGTCGCGGCCGCCCCCGCGGCCGCGGCCCCCCCGGCGGCTGCAAAACCTAAAAAGGGGGCTGACAAGAAACACAACCCATGAGCTGTGGCGCGGGGAAACTTCGAACAGGCGGGGGGGCTCTGCCTGCAAGGGTAGCCGTGAGGCGAGGGGGCCCGCGTTCGGCTTGACTTTTTGGCGGGCGCCCGTGCCCGCACTTCAGAGAGCAATGTTCTGACATTGAACCCCAGTTCCAGGTAGCAATGAGCTGACATTGCGTTGGCCAGTACGCTGGCGGATGGGCTCCGAGATGCGATCGGGGAAAGAATAATACGCCCCCGGAGCCGGCCAGGGAGGGGGGGCGGAGGGAGGGGAGGCGGAGGGAGGGCGGAGGGGGGAGGGGGCGAGAGGGAGGGCGGAGGGAGGGCGGACGGGGGGAGGGGAGCATGAGCATGAGCGTGACTGCATGAGTATGTCAAGACTTGGTGCGAAGCGTGAGTTACACTAAATCAATTAATCAGCGGCAGCAAGCAGTTAGAGGGACAACATTCGGTATCGCTCTAAAGTCGCTGGCCACAGGCAAGCGGTTAGAGCGACAATATTCGGTATCGCGCAAGCTTCGCCTGCCAAATGTATAGCATGAGTTACAGTAAGATGCCTCGTGCGTGCTTCTCTGTAGCATTTAAATCATTTGGCCGTGCACCTCTCGAGATCCTGTCCACGTGCCCAGATCTATGTTGTGTGATCGTAAGCGTGCACACCTTGCCTGGTTCACGGAGCTGTTGGTTAGCATAGCAGCCACATCCTATGCAATACCAGAGGCGGAGCTTACTATGAAACTGCAGCGTGTGTGGATCATTTACCAATCAGCCTGTTATGTCTACCTTGGCCTTTGGAGGTTTCTTGAAAATGGTGCCATCGTAATTCTCCGGTCCGAAACACCGAGAGCAACGCCATTGAGAGTGCTCTTTGACGCCGACGTTGTGCCCGGGGCCTGTAGAAGGCGGCCCGCGGCGCGAGGTCCACTCGAGAGGCGGGGCCGACGACCCTTGGGGGCCCCCCGCAGCAGGGGCCGCCCAGGGCTGGACGGTTCGCGCGGTGGCGGCCGCCGCCGCCGCCATCGCCGTCGGCGTCGTCTTTGGCGACGGCGGCAACGGCGACGACGCGACGACGGCGACGACGAAAGCGGCGGCGACGGCGACGATAACAATTACGACGACGAAGAGGACGACCACGACGTCAAGATCCGACGACGACGACGACGACGACGGCGGCGGCGGCGGCGGGGCTCGGCGGCGGCGGCGACGGCGGCGGCGGAGGCGGCGGCGGAGGCGGCGGCGGCGGCAGCGGCGACGCGGGGCGGACCCTCGCGCTCGACCCGCCCGCCACGGCCCGCGGCCGCGGCCCCGCTTCGCGCGCGGCTCGGCCGCTGGGCGTCCGCCCGACGGGATCTCCCGCCACGTCCCCCTGTGGGCGGGAGACGGTCGTGGCTTCGCTCCGCCCGTGCGGGCGGCCGAGGGGCTCGGGCCGCGCGAGGCCCTCCGTGGACCTCAGACCCGCGCCTTCTTGATGACTCCTGACTCCTGACTCCCCTTCTCGGTGGACGTCCCCTTGGGCGCTCGGGGCCAGCTCGGAGGGAGCAGCCCGCCCGGGTGCTAGGGGTGGCTCGTTTGCCACATTTGTCTTGAAGGCCAGCGCCAGCACGTCCGCCACCCCCCGAAATCGGGATGCACGAGCGCTCTGGGTTGAACCGGGGCCCTTGGGGGGAGGCAGGGGGGCTTCGGGAAACCATTGGTTTTCAGGACCTGGGTCCGAACTTGATGTTTGCACGCGGCCGCCGTCTTTCGAGATTATCGCAATTTGCTGCGCAAGCGATGTTAACATTTTGGGAGGGTTTGCGAAAGGCAGCTTTTGCATTTTCCATGGGTTTCGCTTTTCATGTTGATTTGCTTTTTGGAGGGGTTTGACGTCTGTAAAGGTTAGCGGCCGAGCGCCCGTGCCAAAGGAGGAGGAGGTGGAGGAGGAGGAGGAGGAGGAGGAGGAGGTGGAGGCGGAGGAGGAGGAGGAGGAGGAGGAGGAGGAGGAATACTAATAATAAGAATAATAAGACGAAGAAGAATAATACTAATAATAATAATACGAATAATAAGAAGAAGACGAACACTAATAATAATAAGAGCAATAAGGATAATACGAATACGAATACGAATAATAATAACAATAAGACTAATAATAATAAGACAAACAAGACTACTACTACTAAGACTAATAATAATACTACTAATAAGACGAATACTAAGACGAAGAATGCGAATACTACTAATAAAAAAGAAGAATAGTAATACTACGAAGAAAACGATTAAGAAGAAGCATACCACTACGAATAATAATAACAATGCGGCGGCTACGAATAATAATACGAATAAACATGCCAATACGAATAATACGCATACTAATACTAAGAATAATAATAATCAGAGTAAGAAGAAGCATACTAACAACACTAAGAATACTCATCATAAGAAGAATAAGACTAATACGACGAATAATGATAACACGAATACTAATACGACTAATAATAATACGAATACTAATAATAATGATAAGACGACTAATACTAATAAGACGAATAAAACAACTAAGAAAGAATACTAATACGAATGATAATACGAATACGAATCATACTACGACGAATGATACTAATACTACTACTACTAATAGTACTAATCATAATAGTACGAATCATAATAATAATAACAACAATAAATAGAAATGGTAATACTAATAATAATAGTACTAACACTAATGATAATAATAGTAATAATAATAATGATGATGAAATAATAATAAGACGAAGACATAGAATAATACTAATACGACGAATAATAATATGATGAACAATAATAATACTAATGATACTAATACGAAAAAGAATAATACGACGAATAATAAGAATACTAATACTACTAAGCATCCGAAGAATAATACTAATAATATTAAATAATAATAAGAAGAATTATGATACTAATAATATCAATAATAAGAAAAATAATAACACTACTAATACTAATAAGAAGAAGAGGAGGAGGATGAGGAGCAGGAGGAGGGGGAGGAGGAGGAGGAGGAGGAGGAGGAGGAGGAGGAGGAGGAGGAGGAGGGAGGAGGAGGAGGGGGAGGGGGGAGGGGGAGGGGAGGGGTGGAGGGGGAGCGGGAGGGGGAGGGGGAGGGGGAGGGGGACGGGAAGGGGAGGGGGAGGGGGAGGAGGAGGAGGAGGAGAGGAGGAGGAGGAGGAGGAGGAGGAGGAGGAGGAGGAGGAGGAGGAGGAGGAGGAGGATGGCAGGAGGAGGAGGAGGAGGAGGGGAGGAGGAGGAGGAGGAGGGGAGGAGGAGGAGGAGGAGAGAGAGGAGGAGGAGGAGGAGGAGGTAGGGATGGTGAGGGGGAGAGGGAGAGGGAGGGGGAGGGGGAGAGGGGAGGAGGAGGGGGAGGGGGAGGGGGAGGAGGAGGGAGGAGGAGGAGGAGGAGCGAGGAGGAGGAGGAGGAGGAGGAGGGAGGAGGAGGGGAGGAGGAGGCGGAGGAGGAGGGAGAGGAGGAGGAGGAGGAGGAGGAGGAGGAGGAGGAGGAGGGAGGGGGCAGGAGGAGGAGGAGGAGGAGGAGGAGGAGGAGGAGGAGGAGGAGGGCAAGTGGGCTTTCTAAGTGGGTCACAGGGTCGTGGCTCAGTGGGCTCCGGTTGCTCAGGAAATAGGGTTTCCATCGGTGGATGCCAAGGTAGAGGATACCTGGCCACACCTGGCTTACAAGTGTTTTTTTGAGTGGGTTGCAACTGCTGTGGCTTAGATGTGTTCGATAATTCCGCTAAGTGGGCGGAGCCCACTTAGCCCTGATCGCTCACTCCCTAAGTAGCTTGGGGCATAGGCACCTCAGTCATGAGCTAGGCTATAAAGGCCAGGTCTAACCCACCTTGGCATCCACAGACTAGCCCCCCTTTATCCCGTGGACAACACCCGCGCCGACCCGAGTAGGTGTACTCCGAGTTTGTTAATCTGCGTCGGGGGGGCGTCACCCCCGCCGACAGCCCCACATCGACCCCCGCCGCGGGCAGCCATCGCGCGCCGAAGGTGCTCCGACCCCCGTCGCGGCGCGTCGACGAGGCGAGGTTGACCCCGTCGGGGGGGGTACCCCTCCACGCCTGAGGAGGAGGAGGAGGAGGAGGAGGAGGAGGAGGAGGAGGAGGAGGAGGAGCAGGAGGAGGAGGAGGAGGCGGAGGAGGAGGGGGAAGAGGAGGAGGATGAGGAGGAGGAGGAAGAGGAGGAGGAGGAGGAGGCAAAAGTCCTCTACAGGTGGCTGAAGGACTTCGTCACGCCGGCCTCGTCGCTGCTCTTCGCGGGCGCGGCGGCGGGGAGCCTGCTGCTGGGGCCGCCCCTCGCCCACCGCTTCGGCCGCCGCCCGTGCATCTCCGCGGGGGCGGCCGTCTGCCTGCTCGGCTGCCTGCTGACCTCCTACATGCGGGGGCAGCAAAGAGGGGGGCGATGGCTATCTGGACGCCCGAAATGGGTACGGAAAGAATGGGTACAATGCCCAACAGCACTTCCTGTTCATTTTGAACAGGAATCGCTGTCCACGCCGCCGCGGCCTGTGTCCATTCGAGGCAGAAGGCCGGGTGCCCAACAGCGGCCGCTGTTGGTTTGGGGCGTCATTTGTTGTTGGTCATTGTACCCATTTTTTCCGTACCCATTTCGGGCGTCCAAAGGCTAGGGGTGTGTGGACATCACCGCGGGGGCCATGACAGATCCCTAGATGTCTTGGCGCCTCCTATTACTTCCACACGTCCCCCCCCCCTGGGCCGCGCACGTGCCACTGGCCATGATTTGCCCCCCCCCCCCCCCGCCTCTTGGACGCCCCCCTCTTGGACGCCCCCGACACGTCACCCTCCGCAGCGACGTCGTCTTCTTCGCCGGGCGGTTCTCGGAGGAGGAGAGGTGCCGATGCCGCTGCTCGTTCGGGAGGCTCCTCGTTAACACGGCCGGATTCTCATCGAAGGTCTGGTCAGGGGAGTAGCCGTATCGGAACCCATTCGTCTCCCCGTTGGGGTCGGCTCGGGGATTGCTAAAGGGGGTAGGGGGGGTTATCAGTGGATGCCAAGGTTCACCACCCACCCAACCACCCCAACCCATCCTGAAGGCCCCAATTTGCACTGCACTCCATTCCCAGTGGGGGGGTGTCGGAGAACATTCAAAAAAGACATCTGGAACCCGTACCCCCCCAACCCGACATTCGGGTCTCCAGGTTGGGCTGGGGTGGTCTGTAGGCAGTCAAAGGTGGGTTATATTTGGCCTGTCCTGGGGCTGCAAATGCCCCAAGTGGTTTAAGGGGCTAAATGATCTGGACTAAGTGGGCTCCGTCCACTTTTTGCTGAGTTACCTATCTCATAAGCCACCTGGGGCATCTGTGACCCGCGAACAAGCCAGGTGAGGCCAGATACAACCCACCTTGGTATCCACTGAAAACTCCCCTATCCACTTAATCGGCGGCGAGCGAGGGGGAGAAGCGAGAAGGAGGAGGCCTTCTGAGAAGGCGGCGGGGCTTCTCAGAAGCCATCCGGCCCTCTGAGAAGTTTTCTGTGTCTTCAGGGAAGTGCATTGTTTTGCAGCTTGTCTCAGGTTCTCCTAGGTTTTCTGAGGGAGAATCGAAGTTTAGCAGATGGGGAAAGAAGGGGCCTTGTTTCGTACGTAGGGTTCCTTATGACAGCGTTTCGACTGTGGCTCCGATCCCAATGCTCCAGGCCTCCTAGATAGGGTCCGAGTAGATGGGGTCTGAGGATCGCGCCGCATCGCCGATGCATCGGCGATGCGGTTCGATGTGGAGCCTGATTTTCTCCACGCCGACGTCGCCGATGCGTCGCCGACGTCGGCGCTGCATCGCCGGCGCATCGCCGATGCATCGCCGATGCATCGCCGATGCGGCGCGATCCTCCGACCCCATCCGACCCCATCGAAGGGTGAGGGGCAACGATGAGGGGTGATAGGCGTAAGTCGGACATGCCCCTCTGCAGGAGGAATGTTCCCAAAGAGTAAAGATTAGTCAAGGGAGCGATTTTTCCACCAGCTTTGGGAATTGTTTTTTTTGGCGATGTTTAACATTTATATTTTTCATTCCTTCGAAGATTCGCTCCGACCCCATCTGGGAGGCCTCTGAGTACCATGTTGCCCCCGGAGGTTCGTGACCGGGTTCGGCATCGGCGTGTGCACCTTCGCCCTCCCGCTGTACAACTCGGAGGTCAGCGCCCCCGCGGTCCGCGGGGCCACGGGCTCGATGTTCCAGGCGGGCGGCGGAGCAAACATCGTGAGGGCAAGCAACGCTCAGAGAGCACACAGTCGTCCATGTCGAGGAAGATGTGGTAAGACACAGTCGACCTGCATAGGACGGATGGGTACCCTTCCTGATGGTACCCTTGCGTCCTTCCGCTTCGGCCCATCCTTGGCCGTGTCGCTGGCCGCGCCCCGCTCGCATAGTGTCGACATGGCCTTCCAGGGCCCTTGCAGCCTTGCCGCGCATCCTTATGATACGGGTGGACTGTAAGGGAAGTGGGGGGGGAAGGCGAAACTCCAGAACATTTGGAAACATCTGGGGAGAATCCTGGGATTTGCTGTCTGTTGATGCGTGTGCCCCTAGGCCCCTCCAGTACAAGGGGCTCGGTCGTGCGGACACTCGCGCGCAAGCTGCCCGCGCAAGATGGCACGTGAGCTCGGGGGAGGAAAAAGGTACCAATACTATTCCCCTTCGCTCGCTTCCCCCTTTTTGGGGGCATCCTGGGAGGCCCTCGTCGCCATCGCTGGATTCGCCTCGAGATCCTGGTCAGAACGCACCCCGGGAGAGGTCCGGGGGGTAGCGGTATGGGTACCTTTTGGTTTCCTAACTCGGAGGAGCAGGACTGGCAGAAGGAGCAGGGAGTAGCAGCATCGGTACTTTTCGGCTTCCCGAAAGATGGCGCGTGAGCGCCCTCGTTTCCAATCTTGCGTGCCGCGCTGGTGGCCCGCGAACGCCACCAGTCAAGGTCGCTCATGTCTTCTCGCGCAAGACCGTCTCTGTTTTGGCCGCCCAGGTCAACGTTGTGCTGGGGCAGCTGGTGGCGTCCGTCGTGACCTACTTCAACAACGACTGGCGCGTGGGCATGCTGCTGCCTGGCATCGCCGGCGTCGCGGTGGCCCTCGGGGTCTGGCTCGCGCCCGAGTCCCCGCGCTACGTCATGGCGAAGCGCGGCCTCGAGGAGGGCACCCTCGTGCTGGCGAGGGTGCGCGCCGGCAGCGTCGGCGCCGAGGCTGCGGAGGTGATGGAGCAGTTGGAGTCCGAGGGCAGCGCCGGCCAGGTCCGGTGGCTGGACCTGGTGGTGGGCTCCGAGGGCCATCCCAGCCTCCGCAGGCGCGTGCTGATCGCCTGCTGGCTCCAGTTCGCACAGCAGTTCACCGGGATGAACATGGTGATCATGTTCTCGGCGGACGTCTTCAAGCTGATGGGCTTCGAGAACCCCTTCGGCGCGAACATCGCCTTCACCGCGCTGCAGGTCGTGGGGATCGTGGTCGGCCTGGCCCTGCTGGACTCCCAGTGGGGCGGCAGGCGCATCCAGCTCGCCCTGGTCACGGCGACGATCTGCCCCTTGCTCGTCCTCGTGGGCCTCTCCTCCCAGCTGGGCTGGTCCACACGCCTGGAGCTGGCGCTCCTGTGCCTGTTCGCCTTCGTCTGGCAGCTGGCGTGGGGCATGATCCCGTGGGTGTACCCGTCCGAGCTGTTCACCATGGCGGAGAGGGGCAGGGCCACGTCCCTGGCGGTGTTCGTCCAGTACGCCGCCAATGCGGTGCTCACGGTCGTGGTTCCCGAGCTGCTCGACGCGCTCGGCTTCGCGGGGACGGTCTGGTTCTTCGCGGCCTTCAACGCGCTGAACCTGGTCGTCATCGCCGCGTGCATCAAGGCGGGGGCGAAGAGAACCGTGCCTGTGCAGTCCACCCGCAGAGTAGGGATGAGCAGCTTTCCAGGGCTACCCCTTGCATTTTTTTTTTGTTCGGCCCGTCCTTGGCCGCTTTCGCTGGCCGCGCCCCGCTCGCAGAGTGTCGGCGTGGCCTTCCCTGGTCGTCGTCGTCGTCGTCGCTGTCGTCGACGTCGTTGTCGCCACCGCCGTCGTCGTCGTCGTCGTCGCCGTTGTCGTCGTCGTCGTCGTCGTCGTTGTCGTCGTCGTCGTTGTTGTCGTCGCCGTCCTTGTTATTCAGGTTGGCTGTACAGTGGACGCCCATGCCACGGAACACCCTGTTTGCCTCCAGGGTGCCCTGGGCTTCTTGGATCTCCATGGTTTTGCTGTGGAGAGCGTGACGTTCCCACACCAAGAGAATCAATGGGCATCCTGGGGTCTCAGGGTTGGTGGTTGTTTTTTATTTGTTTTTTTTTGCCGATCGGCGCGGGCCCTCGTCCCCCCTCCTCCCGCCCCCCCCATGGAGTAGATCTTGACTGTTTTTGGCGCCCGTTTCGAGCAGGTGGAGTCTCTCCCCCATGGGACGCACTGTTGCAAACAGTCGCGCCAAGCAGAGGTCCGGAGCCAAAGCCCCCCCCTTCCCCCCCCCCCTCCTTTCCGCCCAACGTGGAAACGCCGAATCAAGAAGCGCTCACTTGGGTCTCTCGTGGAAGGTGTCTTGTGGTCGGCCTCCTACCGTACGCCGAGCCCGGCCAGGCCCCGCCTGGGCGCCCAGGGGCCCCGCTGCGCGTGCTCTGCCGAAGGGCCCCCTCCCCCCCATTGGGGCAGAGCGGCGGCACCACCGCCATCACAGGCAGGCGAGGGAGGAGGAGGAGGAGGAGGAGGAGGAGGAGGAGGAGGAGGAGGAGGAGGAGGAGGAGGAGGAGGAGGAGGAGGAGGAGGAGGAGGAGGACCTCGACTATCCTCCCATCTTCCCCGTCCTACCTGTGATAGTGATGGTGGAAACTTGGCCCATCATTCGTCGTTTTGTTTTCCACTGTTGTTTCGTTTCGTTCGTCGTTCTTGTCGTTTGGCACCGGCGTCGTTTTCAACGCTCGTTTTGAACGTCGGGCCTGGCTCCGCTGTTCGCCGTAAATGCCATCTCGTTCGTTGTAGATATCGTTGTGGTCGGTCCTTGGTGGATCACTGCTGTGCGCGCGTGGTATGATGCGACACGGTGTGGCCTGGTAAGGACCCCTCGAGGCCCAAGGTGGCGAGAGGCCGTGCGTCGCGGTCTCTTCAGGACCCGAGGGGATGCTGGGTGTTGGGGCCTTTCGAGAGGTACGGTCGGGCCGAGGTCTGGGTCGGGCGTGTCCTCCGACAGGGGGATTGTGAGCGAAAGATTATCAATGATCGAAACATATTCAAGAATAGTCAAACATAGTCGAAGCATCCTCCCCACATGATTCTTTGACCAATTTTGAATATCCCCGACGTGAGCCGAGGTATAAGATCGAGGCCGCTTCGGAGAAGGGGCCCTACTGTTCTCGTGTCTGCTGGGCGCCCTCGTGCATCCTGGGGGAGGATGCCCCAGGATGTTTTCTGTGTGTTTCGGCCGGCGGAGGGTCCCCTTCTCCTGTTCTTGAGCGAGGTCTTTCCGTCACGGTCGGACCGAGGCAGAGAAGATCGAGGCCGCTTCGGGGAAGGTGCCCAGATGTTCTCCGTGCCTGTTGGGTGCTCTTGTACATCATCTTGGGGGAGGACGCTCCAGGATGTTGTCTGCGCGGTTCGGCAGGCGGCGGGTCTCCTTCTCAGGTTCTTGAGTCAGGAGGGAACAACACACACAGACACAAAGAACCGTCGATTCCCAGGAAAGTGTGGGAAAATATGGGAAGTGGGGGGGAAGACAAAAGCCAAGAGAATGTGGGGAACTATGGGGAATCCTGTTATTTGTGTCTATTTAATTTGTGTGTCCCAGGGCCCCTTCATTGATGGAGGTTCCTTTGTCCTGGGCCCGGCTGTGGCGACCCGGCGAGGCCTCCCAAATCGATGTCTCCTTCACGGCGATCGAACAGCTCAGCCATGCAGTGGACGCCCATGCCAAGGAACACCCTGCTTGCCTCCAGGGTGCCCTGGGCTTCTTGGATCTCCATGGTTTCGCAATAGAGAGCGCGACGTTCCCACACCAAGAATGAATGGGCGTCCTGGGGTCTCAGGGTTCTCGTGGAAGGTTCCGCGTTGAAGGTTTCTTGTGGTCGAGCTCCTACTGTACCCATAGGGAAGTCGGAGGGAGGAGGACTGGCCGCAGGTGTGGGTGCTGGCTGTCGGGCTCCTGGGGAGACTCCCTTTCTCGAGCGGGGACCCCCCTCCTCCAACCCCTCCTCCTCCTCCTCCTCCTCCTCCTCCTCCTCCTCCTCCTCCTCCTCCTCCTCCTCGACCTCATCCTGCTCCTCCGCCTTTATCCTGCTCCTCCTCCTCCGCCGCCTCCTCCTCCTCCGACAACACGCGCTCATAGCCCCGTCCGTCCCCCCCTACGGGTACGGGTGTGTGTGTGTGTGTTGCTCGTGTGCTATTCTTCGAAAGGTCGGACGGGGCCAGGACGAGCACAAATCCTTTCCAGAGCGTTCCGGAGCGCTCTCAGAGCGTCCTGGAACGCTCTGAGAAGACCGCGGCGCCCGAGACATCTTCCAGAGCCGCCCGACCTCAGAGATTCTCGATTCACCCTCGCCCGGATACGTCCTCGTCGTGGCTTCGTCTCCGGGTGCGTGTGGTTCGCTCGTTCCTCTTTTGGAGGTCGGGCACGTCCCTCTGCCCGACCTACTCCGAATCCTACTCCTAATCTGAATCCTTCTGAAAGGACATGCCGAATCCTAATCCTAATCCTAATCCTAATCCTATCCCTAATCCTAATCCTAATCCTTTGAGGACGTGCCCGACCTAGCCCTTCTCCTACAGGAGACGAAGGGCGTCCCGCTGGAGGAGGTGCCCGGCCTCTTCGCCGCCCCGGGCGCGGGCGCCAAGCCCGCCCGCCCCGCGGGCGCGCCGCGCGCGGGCGCCTCCCCGGCGGCGGGCGCGCGGGTGAGCGTCTGAGCGGGCCTGCTATACCGGAGGCCTCGAGCCGAAGAAGAGAACAACGGCACAGACACAACTGATTCGGGGGCCTCCAAACGGGGTGGTGACCACACCGTGTGGTGAGTCGGTGGGGGTTCGGGGTCAACACGCGGTTTTGGGACTTGGGTCGTTCTCCGAGGATGTCTCGGGCGACTGGAGCCTCCAGGGTCCCAAAACCGTGTGGTGACGGACCGTGCGGTGAGGTCTCTTGGGGTTCCGAGGTCACCGCACGGTCTGTCACCGCACGGTCTTGGGATCCCCAAACAGACACAAATGATTCGGGGGTGGACAGAACCCCCAACAGTGACACGTCGATTCGTGAATTGTCCGTTTGCGGTTCTCGAGAGGGCGCCGTGGCCGTTGTCTTCAAGGCTTGCGCCCGCCAGGTTTGGGCCTCAGGTCGTTTTCACTAAACCACGTTTTACTAAAGAGGGGTCTGTCCTCAGAGCGTGAATTACCTACCCCGCTTTCGCTTCCAGGCAAGACCAAGTCATGCCACGCGCCTCCCCGTCGATCGGCCTGACCAGTGCGGGCCGTTTGGCATCGCTTGGTAGCTCTTGGAAGCGAGGGTGGTCAAAAGCGAGGTAGGTTCGTTTGCCCCCTAATACCGGAGGCCTCGAGCCGAAGAAAAGCAACGCCACAGACACAAATGATTGGCGCTCCGCGAGGATTTCTTGGGTCCGCGCTGGGCCCCCCCAGCGGCGCCTCCGGCGCCGCCCGGCGCCGCCCCTGGCGCGCTCCGCGCGCCAGGCAGGGGTGGCCCAGCGCGGACGCAAGAATTCCGCGTGGAGCGCCAAAAGTCTGGTTTTATGCCTTGTTTTCTTCTTCTACAGAGGTTGACTCACCAATGTCGGCGGCGTGCTTCCACCGAGGGAAGATGATCCTGACCTCGGTGATGGTGGTAATGTTCGGGCTTCCCAGGCGGCCGAGAGATTACCACCAACACCAAAATCCAGGATCATCTTCCTCCCGTGGAGGCAGCCCCTGGTGTTGGTGTTGGTGCGCATTTTCAAGCTTCAGATGCCACCAGCCTGAGACATACAGTCGAAACATGTGATATTCGGGGAGCAAGCAATGACATACGCATGCAACTCATGGGAGTCTGGTATGCCCTCTCAATTCCGTCCTCAGCTATTATCGTCTTGGGAGTCGATGAGATAGTGCCGATTTCGCGTCGGTTAGCGTCGATTTAGCGTCGATTTAGCGTCGATTAGCGTCGACTAGCGTCGAATAGCGTCGATCACCAGCTTGAAGCATACAGCCGAAACCGATGATAAGGCTTCGGAGGAGGAATACCGCTACCCGTAATTCGGGCCTGTCCCTCTACAGGAGGAATATTCAAAAATAGTAACACAGTATTATGGGACGATTTTTTTGAGTATGTTTGAGCATTTGGGGAGTATTTGTTGGAGTAAATTCTATTTTTCGCCCAAACTCCCCCAGTGGGGGAACAGGCCCGACCTAACGCTACCCTTCTCGCGTTTTCGTTTTTTTCGCCCGTCTGGGAGGCCCTTGTCGCCACCGCTGGATTCGCTCGAAATTCTGGTTAGAACGCACCCTGGAGGAGGTCCAGGGAGTAGCGGTATTGGTACCTTTTGGTCCCCCCCATGACAATTTTCCCATGGGCACCATTGCATTCTTGCCTCTTCGGTCCATCCTTGACCACTCTCGATGGCCAGCCCCGCTCGAAAAAAGCTTAGATGTGGGCGTCCGAGGGGCTTGCATCCTCATCGCGCATCCTTGATCTATCAGTTTGAGCTATATCCCTATGCCTATGATTGGCGTCCCTTGATCCCGATGCCGATCTTAAGGACTCCATCTGTTTCTGAGGGCGCATCCCTAAGGTTGTCATCGCTTCGGGCTTGCCGATCTTAGGGATAGGGGTAAATTCGAGGCTGGTTAGCTTTGGCACTGAGCTTGAGAGCGTCGGGGAATAAGCAATGACATAGACATGCACTTTTGGAGGTCTGCGCGGATCTCTCGGATCGGCGCCAGAGCTCCCCTGGCGGTGCCTCTGGCGCCGCCCGAGGCGCGCTCCGCGCGCCAGGGAGGGGGTCCAGCGCCGATCCAAGAAATCCGCGCGGACCTCCGAAAGCTTCTGTTTATGCCGTTTCTTGTTCCTCTACAGGGCGAGGAGCGAGAGCGCCCAGTGTGTCAGGTAGTAGGTTTCAAGGCGCGCCCCAACAGTGGGCTGCGCACCGCAGCGGCGGCGGCGGCCCGGTCTCCGCACGGGAGGCGGCCGGTGCAGAGCTGGCGCCAGGTTTCAAGGCGCGCCCCGCCAGTACAGTTTTTGGGCCTTCGTGCTGTGCACCGCAGCGGCGGTGGCACGGCGGCAGCCGGCTTCCGCACAGGAGGCGGCCGAGCTGTCGCCGCACACTGAAGCCCTCGCAATGAGGGTCTGAGTAGATGGGATTGGAGGATCGCGCCGCATCGCCGATGCATCGGCGATGCGGTTCGAGGTGGAGCCCGATCTTCTCCGCGCCGACGGCGCCGATGCATCGTCGACGGCGCCTTCGCATCTCCGATGGATCGGCGGTGCGGCGCGATCCTCCCACCCCGTCTACTCGGACCTCATTTGGGAGGCCTCTCGATCTTACAAGAAAGGGATCCCCGTTTGTCCCAGTGGCGCTGCGCGGGCCACGCGCCACAAACATACTGTTCACACTATCTGATCCTTCTCCTTCTTCTCTTGTATTGATTCGTTGGCCGTTCGTTTTCGGGCAATTTCCAATGTCCTCCCCCCTCTTGGTTTCCAGATATCCAGTGTCTCGATAGAGTCGAGGCAGAGGTCCTGTGTTGTTTCATGCGTCCATAAGCAGTCTTCGGGTCACCGGTGCGAAAGGCCGGCCCGCCACGGGGAAGGGGAGGAAGGGTCGAGGGATTCTGGGCTTGCGTGCTGAGCGAAGTCAGACCGCTGGGGTTTGGGGCCCCCTCCCGCTTCCATCGAGGCAGGGTTGGCATGGGGTGCTTCTCCCATGGTTGCGCCGCCTTGAGCTGACGGTGCCGCTGCTGCTACTGCTGCTGCCGTCGCCGTGGTCTCGGAGGCGGCGCTGTGTGCCGTGGGGTCTGGGCCCCGGGAGATCCAGGATGCCTTCGGGGCCCCCTGGAAGCCTTCGGAGGCTTCCCGAGGCCCAAACAGCACACTCCGCATGGCCGAACGTCTGTGTCCTCGATCCTCGGGCCTCCTGCTCCGATGTCCACTGCCTCGATCCTCGATCCTCGGTCCTCGGTTCTCGATCCGATGAACTACGATGTTCCCAAGTTCCCTGCTTCTCAATTTCCTTTGGACTGGCGCTCGCGACCACGACCACGACGCCGACCACGGCGACGGCGACGGCGACGACGACGACGGCGACGGCGACGGCGACGACGACGACGACGACGACGACGACGACCACGACGACCACGACCACGACGACGACGACGACGACCACGACGACGACGACGACGACGACGACGACTTCCGAACGCCGAAGGGTCGGCGCGGATTTCAAGCGTCCGAACATCTTGAGTCATCTCGATCCTCGATCCTCGAACCTTCTCTCCTCCGCCCTCCTGCTCCGTGGCTCCGACCGGGTCGGGCGGCCCCGCGCCCCGCCGAGGTTCCCGGGCACGCCGGAGCACGTGGCCAACTTCTTCCTGTTCGTTGCGGAGGAGGCCCCCCAGCGCCTCGCTTGTGGGACGGCACCGCAACTCAGCATGGTTCAATAAGCCCCCATCCTCATCCCCATCCCCATCCCCATCCCCTAACCCATCTGGAGCCCCACCACCCCACCTCCCCAGCTGGGGAGGTACGCCGCGAAGCCCGGAGGGAGCAGGCTACAGTGCGAGCGCGATCGCAAGAACCCCCCGCAAGAAACCCAACCTTGAAAACCCGCGCCCGAGGTGCACCGGAGGGGAAATCTGGAGCACCCTGAACGCAGCAGCTCCTTGAATGGCCGCGGGAAGTCGCCGCGCAGCGCGCGGAGCGAAGAAACGCAGGATACCCTGACGAAAAGCATCTGGTTTCTTGACGCGCGCCCCCACTGTATGCCCCCCCATCCAGGTGGGTATATCGACCAGCGTGGCCCAGGCCACGCTGGTGGGGGTACGGTAGGTTCATGCGGCGATAGCTCGCCGGCGACGCCAGCGAAGGCGTTCAAGGTTGAATTTTGCGACGCGGAAGCACCGAGGGACACGGTGCCCCCACTGAACCCGACTGAATCCCACCAGCCCTCTGGGCGTCGGTGGTTTAACGAGTTTCCTCTTCCACCCCTCCTTCTTCCCCTTCGGGGAGGGGTTTACCCCTCCCCCTACCCCCTCCCCACTGACCTGGACAGGGGGTTCCGCGGCGCGTTGGAGCGCCCAAGATGGCCCAAGACGGCTCCAAGAGGGCCTCAGGGAGCCCAAGATACCCTCCAAGATGGCTCAAGATAGCGCAAGATGCCTCAAGATGGTCCCCATGATGTTCCAAGACGTTCCAAGAACTCCCAAGACGGTTCCAAGTGCCCACAAGAGCATCATTAGGATGCATCCAAGAGGGGAAATGCTTCAAACCCTAGGGAAAATCAATGTTTTTGGTGTTCTCACTTTTTCGCTTGCGATGCACATCCGACGCGTCAAGATGGCTCCAAGATGGCTCAAGATAGCTCCAAGAGGGCCCAAGAGAGCCTCAGGATGGCGCCAAGAGCGGCCACGAGCGCTCCAAGAGCGATCCAAGAGGGGTCCAGGAAGCGATTTTTGGAGCTCCTGGGGGGGGGGCTAATTAAGGAACCCCACTTCCTTGGCCGATGTCCTCCAAAATTGCCCCAAGAGCGCCCCAGCAGGGCCAAGGCCCCCCAGGGAGGAAAAGAGGCCCCCAAGAGACCCCCAAGAGGCCCCAAGAGACCCCCCAGAGGCACCCAAGGGGCAAAGATGGCCCCAAGAAGCGCCCAGGAGGCCCCCAAAGGCCCCAAGATGGCCCCAAGAGGCCCCCAGGAGGCCCCAAAGAGGATCCCGAACGGCCCACAGAGGCCCCCCCGAGGCACCCAAGACGCCGAAAAGCCCCTCAGGACGACCCTCTACTCGCCTGGGCGTCGTTTCTGGACGGGCTGGTGGGGATACGCGAAGCGTCTAGAATTTAAGCTTGAAAGATGGGGGCCGCAATCGACTCAATGTTGAACCGTAACGATCGACGCGGTGACAAAACCCTTTTCGCGCGCCGCCGCTGCGCGAACCTATTCTCAGGAGGGGAAAAGAACAGACACATACAATCGTCGATCCCCCAGAAAATCCAGAACATATGGGATATATGGTTGATCCTGGGATCTGAGTCTACTTATTGTGAAGGCCTTACGGCTGGTGCCGTTGACCCAGAAGGACGACGACGACCACGACGACGACCACGACGACAACGACAACGACGAGCTGATGACCCTTCCACAAGCTCGGGACACGGGGCCTGCGGTGGAGGGAGGAGGAGGAGGAGGAGGAGAGGAGGAGAGAGGAGGAGGAGGAGAAGAGAGGAGAGGAGGAGGAGGAGGAGGAGGAGGAGGAGGAGGAGGAGGAGGAGTTGGAGGAGGAGGAGGAGGAGTAGGATATGAGATGGCGAGTGCGAGCGCGAAGGAGGAGGAGGAGGCGGAGAGGAGGAGGATCAGGAGGAGGAGGCGGGGAAGGAGGAGGAGGAGAGGAGGCTGGAGGATGAGAAGAGGAGGGGAGGAGGGAATATGCTGATGATGATGAATGATGATGATGATGATGAGGAAGGAGGAAGGAGGAGGAGAGGGAGGAGGAGGGAGGAGGAGGGGGAAGGTAGGAGAAAGTAGGAGAGGAGGAGGAGGAGGAGGAGGAGGAGGTGACGGAGGAGGAAGAGCAGGAGGGGGGAGGACAAGCTAGGTGCGCTCGCGTCATATCTGACGTCCTACCCCTCCCTCCCATCCCTTACCATGGCGCTGATTTTCTCTATCCGCGGACGCGTGTCGTAGCGGACCTGTGGCTCCGCGCGCGCGTGCGTATTGGGTGGTGGTGCGCGTGCGTGCGTGCGTGCGTGTGTGCGTGGTTGTGGTTGTGGTTGTGGTTGTGGTGGTGGTGGTGGTGGTGGTGGTGGTGGTGGTGGTGGTGGTGGTGGTGGTGGTGGTGGTGGTGGTGGTGGTGGTGCTGGTGTTGGTGGTGTTGGTGGTGGTGCTGGTGGTGGTTGTGGTGGTGGTGGTGGTGGTGGTGTGGTGGTGGTGGTGGTGGTGGTGGTGCGGCGCGGTGGTGGCGGGCGGATGGGCGCGCGAGAAAGAGGCCCGCGCTGGGGCGAGAACGCCCTCCTGAACGACGGAGGCAAAACACCGATCCGAAAATGAGGCCCACGCTGCAGCGGGAGCACGAGTCGGAACGATTTGGGAGCAGAAATGAGGCCGGCGCCTCAGCGAGAGCAGCATTTTGGAAAAATGACGCCCCGCGCCTCAGCGAGAGTCGTTGACCGGGATTTCCCGGGGATCCTTGTTTTAAAACAGTACGCTGAGGGTGCGCGGCCATCACCCGGACGCCATCAGGGGAAGACTGAGAGTATTTTCATATTGAGGAATTGTGGCGGAGGATGAGGAGTAGGATGAGGGAAGGAGGGGAGGAGAGAGAGGAGGAGGAGGGGAGGAGGAGGGGAGGAGGAGGAGAGGGAGGGTGGTAGGGAGGGAGGAGGGAGGTATGGAGGGAGGAGGGAGGCGGAGGGAAGGACGGAGGAACCTGGAGGAGGAGGAGCGGAGGTTCGAGGCGGAGGCGGAGGGCGGAGGCGGAGGCGAGGCGGAGGCGGAGGCGGATGTGGGAGAGGAGGAGGAGATGGAGGATGAGGAGTGAGTATTAGGATGAAGATTATGAGTAGTTAGGAAGGTATTAGTATTTGTATTTGAGGTGAATTTTGAAGTGATGGAGGGAGCGAGGGAGGGGCGGGAGGGAGGGAGGGAAGAGGAGGAGGAGGGAGGCGGGCGTTGGAGGGAGAAGGAGGGTGGTGGGAAGCTGAGGGAGGTCGAGGAGCTGCGTTCCGGGCTTCCTCGGCGTCGCAGCCCAACCACCGCGGCGGCCGCCAGGTGCGCGTCGTCCTCGCCGCCCTTGGCCGCCCTGCCCAGCGCCACTGCCCCCCACGCGCGCGCGCGGGGACGGGGGCGCAGCCCGCCGCGCAGGGCGGAGCAAGAGGAGGGAGAGAGGGAGACGGAGTCCGGAGGACGGGGATTCGAGGGGTGGGAATCGGAGGTTGATAGACCTCCTACCCTGACACGTCGATTAAGGAATTGGTTGTTTTGGGTTCGCGAGGGGGCGTCGCGCGCCGTCGTTTTTGCGGGTCCAGGTCCGTCGGTTTCGGTCCCAGGCCGTTTTCTATAAGGGGAGGTTTACTGGAGGGAGGTTTGTCCACCGCCGAGGGAGGAGTGGAGGCAGGATTGTGCGAGGATAGATAAATCCGTTCTCGGAGCGTTCTGGAACGCTCTGAGAGGGCCGCGGCGCCCGAGACATCCACCAGAGCCGCCGGATCTCAGAGATGCTCGATCGATCTTCGCCCGAATTTCTCCTCGTCCTGGCTTCGTCCTGAGGATCGGCGAGGGGAGAACGACGGGGGGGGATGAGGGGAGTGAGGAGAGTGCGGGACACGAGGAGCCGGGGGGGAGGAGACTGAGGGACGGGGGGGGAGGGAGGAGGACGGAGGGCGGAGGATGGGGATTTGAGGGGTGGGAGGATCGATCGACAAAGAGCTGCATAAACATAGTTTTTTGTTTTTTAGCTCCGCGCGGACTTCCTGGATGTGATCGTTTTCTTCGCCCCCCCGTCCCCCC